AAATAAACATATTTTAGTATAATAGAATAAAGCAAGGAAACAAAATCCTGCTTTTCAAACTTTGAAGGAGCATTTAGTTTAAATGCACTATACACTGTGTTTTGAAAATAGCATCACTTTAATAATTGTATCCTTAATCTTACAGATAATGATACCGAAAATAACCAAATGTTATGCAAGATGTAGACAGTATCCCAGAACCTACCTATACGCAGGTCTTTTTGTAAAACACTTTTATCATAAATGTAGAAGGACAACCACTGGAATGTTCTTGGAATCTCAAAGTAAAACTCTTCCCCAAAATAAGGGCTGAAAAGAAAGACTGAAAGTTAAAATAGAAAAACATTTCATGTAATTTATATAGAAGACAAACATTAAATTCTACATTTTTACTGCAGTCCCAGACCTTGGCTTTTAGCACTATACTTATCTATCATCAAAGCCATCCACAACCATTTCATTACAAGAACATATAGTAACACAGCAAGTTAAAACTTCATGAGAATGCCTTACATATGTTCAAAGCGCACACACAGAAAACGTTGTCTCCTCTGCAATTTCCATCCTATTTTTCTGTCTTGAAATTATTCTAGTTGGTTCTCAACCCACCCCAAATGACTTCCTGAGACACTCACAAGTTTTGTTTCTCTTTTTTCATTCAGTATGCAATTAAATTACATTAAAACACAATTTATGAATTACTTCACTAACTGACATTTGTCTAGCTCTAACTTCCATGTCAAATTTGATGCTCAAAGATTCAGACCTGTAAAAAGAAGCCATAAGCATAAGTAACTATAAAACAGAACAGTGAAAAAGAGAAATGTTAATCTCAAATGCACACGTTCTCCCGCATGCTGAAATGGTCACATTTCTCCATCTAATGAAGTCCAATATAATGTTTACAGTTCACCCTACTTAACTGCCATTTGCACAGCCCTCTATGTAAAAAGACTCTGGGTTCCTCTATGTTAGACATTTCACGCAATGTGTTGGTGCATCTTCACTCAAGGAATTTATACTTCCATTGAACTTAAGGAATACTTATTGATGCAATCATAGCCAGTAGTCAGATAGTTGTATTTCAACAGACTGAACAAAACCACAATGTTATTTGTGTCACTGCAAGTTGTAAATTCTGAAAATCAAGTGCATCCACAAAAAAAACCTGCTATTTTGGAACTACTGGATTCTTAAAGACTTAAAATATTTTCAATTACAATGTATTAACATCACTGGGGAAATGTGTTCAGCTTCGTGAAACTAATTTTAGCCTCTGCTTTCTTTCTACAGAAAAGTACTGTGACGACAGTTATACCAAACCCAGAGACGTACTGTGACGACAGTTATACCAAACCGAGAGACAAAGGGGTTTTTTTTTGTTTCCCAGTAAAGTACCTTCCTGACACTGTATTGTTACAATACTTTATTAAACTCATACAAATACGCTTATGTTTGGAACAATCAGTTCATATTACTACCTATCCAAAAGGATACCAGGAAGAATAGGGTATCATCCCTACTCTCTTCCCTCCAAAATAATTACAGAAAAACCACCAAATGCTTAAGGACCAATGGTTCATTAAATAAGTTAAAAATAAGAGAAGAGCTGATAACTAATTTAAAAAGTGGGAAAGAACACAGGTGAAAAATCTAGTATTCCAAATTTCTAGAATTGATTTTTAGAAACAAAGCATTAACTGCAGGAATTCATTATGAGGAATTTCACAAGTGAAATGTTCCTTTCGTTCAAACACAGACCTTTTACCATAGGCTTCAAAGCAGACAAGTCAGTATTAGCCTTTGCACTACACTGAGAAATAATTTAAGAATTCTCAGGTGAAAGATTTGTTTGTGGTTTTTCAGCTCCCCACTTTTTTTTTTTTCTTTTTTTAATTTTCAAAGCCAACAAATTCAGCTTTGATTTTGAGGGCTGGGTTCTTCTTGTCAGCACCACCACTAAAGGTATAAATTCATGAGCATTACCTTTAGCAGCCCTAAGCAGCCTCAATTTCCTTATTACCTTCGCTGCTCCTTTTAGTTGTATTGACACAGTAACTCGGAACAAAAAAGATGAAACAAAGGTTTATTTTAAACTTAGGTCAATTCCGTGATACAGTTCCCCTAATAGCTACACAAATAATAGTTGCACCAGTACAAACAAAGAGATATTACGGCGGAAAGAGTAAACAGTGGGTGAACTAGCTGGCACTGGTATCAAGGGAAACTCTGCTACTAACTCAGCTTCAGTCAGACATCCTAAGAGGAACACTAGACCACAACGTACGTCAACAACTACGTATCACGAAGCGTTACGTCCCTATTCTTGCTGGATGTATGTAACTCTATGCGTCCAGTTATAATCAGATAATCTGTCTGGGATGGGGACTATTAGCAGAGACTTCCAAAAACCTATTTAGCAGCCATATCCTATGGCTAAAGAGAGCAAACTTCACAACTATACCCGCCCCCCCAAGAATGATCAGCCACTAACAATCATTATTTTGACCTCAACATTACATGAAGTCTCAGATTTGGCAAGAAAGAACAGGTCAACAGTATGAGCATAAATAGAAGGTAACGCATTGGTTTATTCATGTTGATACATTTTTCCTTACCTAGATTAACACCACTGCCTTATGAATCAGTTGTTGATTATTCTTTAGCAAACTATGAGGCACAGAGAGAAAATTTAAGATGGAGAATAAAAAGGATTAGTAAAGAAATTCTTAGGTGGATACAGAACTGGCTGCAGGGGTACAATAGGTTATACCAATGAGGAATAATTAAAATGGAGAACTTACTCAACCTGTTCCTCAGGGATTCAGTCCTTAGTTTAGTACTTTCATTTGTGACTTTGATGCAAGAATTTTAAAGACTCTGACGGATACAAAATTAGAAGATAGTGCTAACTCAAAGGAAGACCAAACTGTCATACAGGAAGAACTGGATTACAGTAATACAGGAGATTAAATTTAAATGTGTGACATACTCCTTTGCTCTTCCCTTCCTTGTTATATTAAACTGGCAGTTCTATGACAGAAACTGACCAATGCCCCTAGACCTGTCATTTGACAAAAGCAAGTTATATCAACAAGAAAATTACTTTTTGCTATAACCTTGCATTCACACAAAGTTCAGTTTGAAAAAAAGAAACTGAATTTAGTTTAAATAAAAAAATGCAACACACACATACCACAACCCCTCCCCAATTCCTCATATTTGACCGTAGATATTTGAGGAGGCTCATGGATGTTCTTTAAACTTTCCAAGGGGAAAAAAAAAATGTCTTTCTTCAGAACGCACAGAAATCCCACACCGTGTCAGGGAATATTTCTTGAGTCAAAACATCCTTCTTTCACTTCACTATTAATTCATGTTTTTCTGACTTTGAAAAGTCATTTGCTTCACATCTGCCCTCTAACAACAGTCCCAGTGCTGGTGGAAGCCCAAACCTATTTGCACATTTTAAAAATACATTTCATTAGTTCTCAATCACTGTAGTCAAAGATAAGTTTAATTCCAGTGATAATTACTTCTACAGATGTTTAACTAGCGGATAGTCATAGAATATAATTTAGATAACAGCTAGTACAAATTCACAACCCAGAATACAGTGACAAAAACAGACTGTGAATTATGTGCGTAAGAAAAAGCAAGCAAATAATATAAAACAAAACAATTAAATTCAAAGTTGTATCTATGACTAAAATTATACTGTACTACATCTTACTGAAAAGCAATTTACAAAGTTTTCAGACTAATAAGAGATCAGAGCTTTCATCTTCCCTTCCAGTACCTCTAGGTTAGTACGGTATTCTAGTTTAACACGGTAATAAGCAACAAGATGGTATAATTAAGTTTCTGGAACAAGTGTCAGCCTTCATAACTGCATACACACTAGTCATCAAGTGTAAGCATCCAACTCTGGTCGCTGCTAATAGAGGATGACTTATTTTATTACATTTCATCAGTTTGTATGGAATCCTACTCATGCTGTCAATCTAACTTAACGCAGCTATAATTCAGAGGATGAAGGAGTTCCCTGTGTAGTCAGTGGAGGCACACATGCCCCCCAAAACTGTTGTTTTGTTATAGTGAGATTTTTCTTCCTTTCCTCGGTAAAGTACTAATGGCTTGTTTTCATTTAACCAAGTTTCAGTTAAAACTTCAGTACTATTTAAAAAAATTTGATGGATCTAAGGTGATTTATTTTATCAAATGTTTTACTATGCAATTAATACTTCTCTTATTATCAGGTGATTAAAGTATATAAATTTAATAACTCTTAAATGGAACATAATAAAAATGTCTGCATAAACATTAAATGTAACTGGTCTTGTTTCTAAGCATAGTAGTAACTTTTAGGATTTCAATTATTAACATGTCAAAAATTGGACAGCAAAGTCTTTCTTTTTAAAAGATACGCCGGGTTCCCTTTTACCGATCAAACTACTGTCTATCTGAAAGGGAAATGTTAAGTTTCTCCTTTATCAATACAGTCTCTTTAACGTTCTTCTCTGAAGGATTACTCAATTGAGTTTGTTTTGGTAATCAATCTCAATTGCAGCCAGTTAAATTCTGAAAAATTTCTGGATCTGACTACAGCAGTTACAGATCAGGAGTACGAGCAAAATATCTGTTCACGATTGCACATACGTGGTGTTTGCTTTTCATGCAGAAGCATAAGGAGGCTTTTAAAATAATGTTTTGAAAAAGTAAAATTCCCTATTTAAATTTGCCATATGAGCAGTATGCTGTTCCTCACCCGGAAACATCTAGAGAGAGAGCTCAAAGAACAAACACTAACAATAAAACCACGGGAAACAACAAGAATTAGGAAAACTTTCAAGAATTTGAACAGGCTTTCTGGGTTTTAAGAGGAAGGTTTAATGTCTCCTCCAGATGACTGAAACTGTCACTCAGATATTCTTAACAATGCAGCTGCAACGATTCTTCAGTATGGGTCATCAGTGAACTTAAGAGTTTTGAGACATAAAAGCACCTACGCTACTGCAGCTACGTTACCATGACTTTTTTGTTTGATTGTTTTTAAGGCTCTAAGACAGTAGCAGAATCTACAGCTAAGCGCTGCTCAGGGATGCAAAGCAAGCCATTCTGTGTGAGCGCTGGTTATAGTTCCCAAACCGAGAATTTCAGGAGAGAACGAGGCCTGCTCAGGGGCACATCGCACAGCACACAAAACTCTTACACATGGAAAAGTTCCAGTTCCTTCATTCTAGCAACAGGTTTTACAAGACAGACACTAAAAGCATAATTCCACCAATACAGACCAACTGCATGTCAGAAGTAGGAAATGACATGGAGAGCAAGTATCAGGCGGATTTCTTTCCCTTGAAAACAACCTGGCAAGAAAAAGAATGTTATGCTGCCCAATGGAACAGAATAAAGTAATAATGAAATATGTTTTAGCACACTTCATTTTCGAAGCACCGTATTACTCACAAGCCTCAATTTCATCTTTTTTCAACTATTCTCACGATTTACACATTGCTGTAACATTTCTGAGTAGTCGCCACAAGTCATCTCTCATTTTAAAGAGGTACAAGCAAAAGCACATGCACATTGATGCATATCTTGTTTTTATTCTGAACTGAGGCAGCCTTGCTTATCATCTCCATTTAAAAATTAAGCTTACCTTAAAGATTTTTCAACTACCTGTGTACGAAAAACTTCTTCTTGGTCCAAGTTTATGGTACAGAAAAAGTCTCTCATTTTGTTGGGTACTAAGTGTTTGGCGTCATCTGTAAATAAAAAAATGACTGTAAATATTGAGAGGGAAAAACCTACAAAATATTAGGCACAAGAATTTTACAGTTTTAATGGGTGTCCAAAATTTACTTTTCCATTCAGACAGCATGCATTTCCATATTAATTTTCAATTCGTAAGATCCAACAGTGTACAGAAATTGCTACATCCAGCTTCACGTGGAATGAGAGCCGACAGGAAGAGGAAAGCACACTGACTCATGAACACCACTTCCTGCAGCACCTGCACTTTCCCTTCAGAGGTCTCATCTCGGGCTTGACCCTGCGTAGCTTGCTAAATCCGAGAAGCCTGCAGCCTGAGGTGATACGGCATTAGGTCATTAGACCAAGACATGATCTGGCTGAGCTATTGTTCACTAGGTATTTTCTCCCCAAATATTTTGGCTAGAGGAAGCTGATTAATAAGAACTTACGCATCAAATCGTTATTTCATTTTCCACAATGATTTTAAGTTGACTGATATATTTTCAAAGGTTCAGCTACGAGTATTCTTTATTTTTTCCTAACTGTCTGGTCTAGTAGAAGGGGGAAGTCACCTACTGACTAAACGCAACATGGATAAGAACAAGTAGAAAAGGAAGTTTCTAACGAGAGAGGAATACAAAGATTTGCTGGGTATTGAGTCTAGGCCACTGCAGTAGCACACGCTGGACATCAGTCAGCCCTTTTTGGAAATGGTTACTTCTAAGTAGTTAGAGCTAAAACCAGTTCCCAGTGCTCAAATTGGAAAGCTCTTCCAAAATCTGAATGCTGCAGACATCTACATTTATTTACAGCAACACTGTCCTTTAGCTTAAACAGTTATTTCCCCCCGGATGTTTCCTTCCCCTCTGAATGTCTTTGAAGATAGCAAACAGACCCTTTTCACCTTTCATTCTGCTAAGAGAAACAAGACAAGCTTTTCTGGTACCCTCTCACGAGAGGCTCCTAGTCGGCGAGTAGCCACTCTCTGTCCCTGTTCCACTTGAATTGTTGTCTTAAATACAGGCAACCAGAATCGTACTCTGCATTAGGTCTTAACCAGGACCTTTTACAGTAGCGTTCATCCTTACCTGCTACTGGAAATACCTCTCCCAATGAAACGCGGTATCAACATTATCTAAACTTTATTATAATGTATTAAAAAGTTACATCAATGTATTGAGTTTTAACTTATCATGTCTGAATAACATATCACCTCCACTTTCAAAGACCACAGCTTGAAACTAGATTTGAAGTGTCATACCTGTTTCTTTTTAAAAAACCTGCAGATATGAAGCATGGTGGAGAAAGCTTTATTGTCTATGCTGTTAAGATGTAAAAATCACAATTTTGTTTTCTCCCCCCCCTCATTTTTTTGTTTGGTTAAATAGATTATTACAGTCGTGAAAGTTAAGTAATGCCTGGCATTGGAAAGGCTACCACAACTGTATCTGAGCAGAGAACATGACAGTTTAACAGGAACAGAGACTGAACTTCATGCATGATGTTTTCCAAGTCAGGGATTTGTACGCTGATGGAAAGCATGAATAGACGCTTAAGTAACTTCCACAGTTAAAACTTGCGCTCTCAGAAGCATCAATGAGCTTTTCATCAACTTGGGTGTGGGAGAGGAGGAAGTATACATATTATTTTTAAACACCACACTTCATGTTGACAGATTGAGAGACATGAACAGAACCGGTTTTTAATGCCATTAGACTCCAAAAAGAAACTAAACTCAAAATTACTCAAGTGAGACACTGCAGAACCATCAAGAAAAGCATCAATGATTGAACATTGCCTTAAAAAAAAGCTATTTTAGTAAAACATATGAAAGAAAATACAAAAAAAAATTCATTAAATAGGCTAGTAATCCCCAGAGACCTTCTGATACTGCAGTTTGTAATTAATAAGCATGAACTGTATGTGTCAGTTGTTCCTGATAAGAATTTATTTTTTAGTTAACTCTGTAGCTTCACAGTCCTATTTTCACACAAAATATTTAAGATATAACATCACTTAATTGGCACTGTAAAGGCACTGTACAGTGGACTTTGAAAGGAAATTACAATCATTATAGCTTCATATTTTCTTAAAAGAGTAAAAATTAAGTATTTCTACATAATTATAACCTCAGAGCACTTGTCACATGAAGTACAGAGCATGAGACTTCATATCTTTCCAAACACCTCTTAATATCTGTGATTGTGGGAGACTTTTCAGCCATATAGTGGTCCAACTCTTCCAAGAAGCTTATTTTCTTTTAAAAAAAAAAGTCACAAGTCTCTGATTGATTACACTGTCTTACTTTTTTCCTCAAAAACCTAAAGCTATAATGGTTGCGTAAAAATCAAGTATGAACACCACCAGATATCTGCTTGAATGTTTAGACTTTCAGTGCATTCATCAAGTATGGAATTCTGAAGACCACGTATGTTTCACTGTTCAAAGGAAGGAGAAAAGGTAAGAAGTGAGAGAAGTGTATTGAGGAAATGTACACCAGTGTTTTCCAAGGGTTTGTTTAGAAAGTGTAGGTAGTATGAATGGTTAGTCAGAAACACCAAATAAAGTTGTTTTGGGGAAAAGAGAAATTAAACCAAGCAGCAATAACAGACTTACTTATTTTGTATTGACCGTATCAATTCACCAGTTTCGGTCACTGGACTAGCTTAAAGCAGAAATTATTTTCACATGACACATTTAGTAGCCTAATTCAATAGGGAAACCATGAAACGCATAATTAAAATAAACACCAACCTTTTTATTTTGAAGAGCTAAAAGTTCACAATTGCTATTAGTTACCTGACTTTTAAACTAACTAATTTTATTGCCACTCAGCTATTTTGGCAAAACAGAAAAAAAGTAATTTAAAAAAACCCCCAACCACCCACACTTTGGCCAATTATGCATATTGGTTTGGATTTTAAAATATTTAGAAAATATTGTTTAGATTCTCTATATAAATACCTAGTAAAACCTCACTTCAAAATAAGATTAGATCAAACCTAAACAAAAGGGAAAAGCTGCAATGCTAATAAAGCCTCAAGTGTTAGAGCAGTAAGAGTTCAGGTGTACACCATTTAATAAATTCAAACTCTCCACATTACTTTACTGTTATGAGTTATTAGTAACTCTGGTATTACTAACAGCAATGGAGCAACCTACCAAATTCAACAGTTCTGTCAGACTCCCTTGCCTGCACATCGTTTGCTAGATGTAGACACTACATGAAAACACCAAGTTAAAGCTTGTTCACAGTTAACAGTGCATCAGAAACTAAGCAAAAGCAGGAGGTGGGATAGATAAATGCTATTCACAATATCCTCTGTCGAGTGAAAGTGCGCAATTAGCGTACATCCTCTGACAGGGACCCAGAACAAAGATGTTCAGAAGACGTCTATGCGCACAAACTCCAAAGTATTCGCTTCACAGGACTAAACATATTACACAGCAACAATTAAATCCACTCCAGGAGTGCAGCATAATCCCAGATGACCACACAGTGTTAACAACTCAGTGCAAGAAGTTTGAAAAAGAACGCGTCCTGAATTTTGTCAAATGAGCTCTGGGAGACAACAGAGCCATTTTCCAAGTGCTCCACTAAGACAAGTTTCAGTAAACACACCAAAAATCAAAGTAACTAAAATCACTTACCACCTAAAAAGCTACTACTGTATGTCATAAAATGAAAACAGAAGCTAATTATAAAAGCTTAAAACACTACACTATGAGATATGCCTAAAACTACATGATATCCACATACCTTTGTAAAGCGCTTTTGCCATTACTATGACACATGAAATAGAGCCACCAATACAAAAGAGTCATCATAAAGACAGACGTTCAGTGGATTTCTGATGGAAACCTGCTAAAATGTAGTATCACATTTTCGAAAAATATTATGGGGTCTTAAACTGGCAAGACCAGTTCATCTTACCTCTTACTTGAAAACCGGAGGCAGGAGATGGGCTGCAAACACTGGTATCCCACAGAACAGAGAGAGTACCAGGGGCTGCAAATGTGTTCCTGCTCTGTTTTTTCCACTGCTAGGTATGCAATAGCTACTTTAGCCACCTTTAAGTACACGCCTCAATTCTAAATCTGTTGTGACAATTTGTGTAACATCACTAACTTTAGATTTTACCATCTATTTGTGTATTGTACAACAACGGTATAAATAAGACCTTACTGCAGATGGTGTTTTCTATACATGCAGAATTACACAGAACTGACACTACCTCATTAAAACTACCATGCTCTCTCACGCAACGCATACAAAATGAGTCAGTGTCAAGTCTCGTCGTAGTTTAAATGCCAACAAAGCTTAGGCACCAAAATGTATTCCACTTCTAAGAAACACGTTATAAGGAATTCTTACAGACTATGAACACTTTCCAAAGTGAGGTCTGCTACTGCTAATCCCTCCAGATCAAGGGGGATTACATTATTACATTTGTTTATTATTGTTCATTCAGAGGGTTTTCCCCTAAAAAACACATTAGTAAAATACTAGCAAGAAGTGAAAATAAAACAGTATGTGCTGTGCGAAGAAGCTAAAAAAGCATCTAGGGATTTGAGGGTTCACAAGCTTCCACGGCATCTTTAACCCCTATCTTTTTTTTAAACACTGTTTTTGTTTTGTTAGAAGAAACAAGTAGGTTTACAAAGTGATTTTCACACTGTTTCAAGACACGTCTTTTATTGCAGCTATTACTTCCACTCACTTTCCAAACGGGCTCCTACAGTTCTTACAGGTCCATCTTTGGCAACCAACTTTTTATGTACTCCCTAGGAAGCAGGTCGTAGTCCTTGGTTTACCATTACTTTTGCCAGGTAACCGAACATTCGAAGTTATGATACAACTGCAGGCTCAATCCAGAACACATAAACGGGACGATGAAACTAGTTCCAACATAAGTCTCGAGACACTTTGGTATTTTAATGGAAAACTTTTATCAGGTTCAACCATCACGAAATGTAAAACTCCTTGAATGTTGTGTTGTCCA